GCATGGGAATGGTTCAAAGCTGCGCCAGGGGAGGTTTAGACTGGACATTAGGAAGCATTTCTTTACCAAGAGGGTGGTCAAACACTGGAACAGGCTTCCTAGAGAGGTGGTCAATGCCTTAAGCCTGTCAGTGTTTAAGAGGCATTTGGACAATGCCCTTAATAACATGCTTTAACTTTTGGTCAGAAACTATAGCTTACAGCTACCTTCTTTCCCTTGTCTGTTCTCCATGCCATCAGATCGAGGAAAAACAATTGTTATTAGTTAGGCAACTATCATCTCTACTGATCGGGTGGTAGGACTGAAACTTTTATGTATAATTTACCACTCTGTCACACTGGGCAGTGACAATGATCTACCAGGATTCTTGGAATCTTATAGCACAGGATCTTAGATGCTCAGAAGTCCCCACACCCACGCAATTCAGGTACAGCAACTATAAAAGAACCATGCTGTGCATCTGATGTGTCCTGAAGCATCAGTCTCCCATATCACATAATTAGCACCAGTCTATGTGTGTGCAGCCAGTCCTACCAATGTTTATGGGATTGTAAATTCATTACAGAAAATACAGAGGAAAATTCATGTGCACAGAAAAGGCAGGTACCAGGCTCTCCCGTTGGCCACCTAAGGTGAGCTTCAGCCCAAAAATAAGTGAAAGGTTCAGGTGCAAGTCAAACTGGACTTTCTGGCTTTGGACTAAAATCAGCTGGACACACAGAATTTCATTTTAATGCTGTACTAGTGTTAAAAAAACTGTCACATGCTCTTCAGTATCTCACTATGTAAATTGAAATTTCATAGTCAAACCCTGGGCTATGTATGGATTTGTGAAACTGGTATATGAATAGAAAACTCTTAATTTTTTAAGTGGCATAATTTAAAAATACATTGTGTTTATCTGGCATGATTATTATTAATCATTAATCCCTTACACAACTGCTCCATTCTGTGAAGAAATTGGCTTTTTCTTATTTTAACTCTGCATGCACTTAAAGCAGTTTTAGTAGAATGTATTAAGTTTTCTAAACACGCTGATTAAATCATCTGTTCAAGTATATCACCTAAAATATGTTAGGAAATAGTTTGCATATTCACTCTTGCAGATCACAAAACTACTGTGAAGTGAAAAAGAAAATGCAAAACATTTAATATTTTCAGCAAGATTATCTACAGGTACCTTGTAGGCAGACAGAACTTGCTACAGTTTGAATGTATTGCAATTTATAGCATGTTACTTGTTGTTACTTGTTCTGTCATTTAGGTTATGATCCTGCTGACCTTTGCTTTCATGATTAGACAACTGCTTCAAAGAGTGTAGGATATTAAGGATTACTTGTGTGATTAAGAACTTTTTTTTTCATAGAGGAATTCAAAAGAACGCAGGCAAAATGGAGATAATGGAGTCACAGGCCTGAGGAAGAAGGCTCTACTTTTCAGAGCTACTGGGGTTTTTTGCTGGCCAATACAGATTTACTAAACAGAGTATCTATTTCAACTTCATGCTACTTCTCTGGAACAGCTACTTTAATACATCAAGACAAATTGTTTCACTTAGCTAAGTAAATTGTGGTCTGTGATCATTTTGTCCATGTTCAGTGACTGTAGGAAAGCTTATATAAATCAGTCCTATAAAGTTCAGCCCTCAAATGAGTAATTGGTACTTATGGGAAAAGCTTCTGTGAGCAGGCATGACACCTCCGCAGGATTTGAAGATATGAAAAACAGAAGTTAGAAGTTTGAGGGGTTTTGACATATTATCTGGTCCTAACAAATATACTTACATTTGTCTTGGTCAGCTTCCACTCCTTCACTTTCTGTGTCACTCGGCAATATCCAAGGTTGATGAGCAAGCTGAAGCTGTTGTAAGAATTCATCCTGCCACAAACAGATCTATTTTAGATAAAATGACAGAGAATGGTTCTATATAAATGCAGACTGTAGCAAACACTCTAGCCTCGATTAACTAGAGAGGAGAAAGCCTTTAATAAAAAAAAAAACAAACAACAAACCATTGCTGTGAAATAAAACCAGAATGTAGAGGATACACAGATGCCCTAGAAATTATTTTATTTAATTCTTATTTATCTATTCTGGAAAAAAAAAAAAAAGAAAAAAAGAGGTGTCTTTAGCTATCTTTCTGCTATAGCCACAAATATATATATACTCAACTTAGAAATGCAGCAACACAGAGCAAAATCTCAGTGCAGGTATTCCATCTGTCCCTGCAGTTTTTGGACTATGCCTAAACATGTCATGCATGATTTGCTTAAGTAAGGCTTTGATTTGTCAGAACTTTCACTGTCTCCAATCTAGTAAGAACAAGGACCTGAAACTTGATTTAGAACCTATGGTTTTATTAGAGAAGGAGAAAGCCTAGGAAGGCAAAATGCTGCGGAAACTTTTGTCTCCAAGATACCATAAAACTCTAAGCATCAAAATATAAATGTTTTACACAGCTAAAAAACCATAGGCAGCTGAATATATGCTTTTTAAAATGTTTTACAATTGCCTCCTTTTTTATATAATGTATATATGTATGTATATAAAATATTTTTCCATACACACACACGCACATATGTATGTGAGTCCGCACACACACAGACATATAAAATACTTTGACAGGTTCCTTTGCAATATTCAAGGTGAGAGATGAGACTGGAATGCATAGTTTTATTTTCAAAAGCAGTTCAAACATGCAAGCCTAGTCTCTAAAAGAGAACTTAAACATTGGCCAGATATAATAAAATTACTGGCCAGATTCTTATAACTACTCTAAAAAAAGGGGTGGTAATAGCCCTGTCTTCTTTTACACCAGCTGAAAAACAGAATCTACTTATTCAAAGTTAAATTGTATTGCACAGCGCTATAGCATAATTTTTATTGTTAGGCTATCTGGTTTAAGAATAGAAACCAGGCTTGTTTAAATCAGTTCTTGGAGACCGAAGGGTGTTCAATCAAGATGTAACTCACTGGAAGTAAATTATTAATTCTGTCAGTAATCTGTTAAAAAATCCACAAAGACTGCTGCAACGGCCCAACACTAAGCTCAGGCAGGAGCTCCAGGCCTTACACATATATCGCCATTTCACATGTGCTCAGTGTTCCAGAAGGTTGCTGACTACAGCACTGGACTGGGCAAAGTGTTTTGGTTCATGGAACAGGATCCTTGCAGTAGGAGCGAGTGGCTCTCCCACAGATCAGCATGCTTTGTAACCTTCCAAAAACACGGAGCAAAGAACTGAGCCAGGCAGCAGAACAGAATGGAAGTATCTGACCAAAAAGAGAGTCCTCATCCATCAAGTTATGCTCTATACTCCAGTAAGTAGGAGGAAAACTTGTTTTAATCAATACTATATTCAAATAAGCTGAAATTTCCTTCTGTTAACAATGACAGACCAATAAAGATTACTGAATACCACTTTAAACTATCTGGATAAATAAAGTGATTGTAAAATTCCAAGTGTTCAGAACATGAAACGGCAAACAAGGGAGTCAGTAGTATTTTCATCTCAACAGCTATTGATAACTATCACAGAATTGTGCCACTTTAATGGAATCCATCCTAAAGAGATAAGCAGATTCAACATTCCTTTGCCAATTTATACAAAACACCAAAGAATAAAGTAAATGCAGTAGAAGTATCTCTGCCAAAGGGTTTGGAACCCTGATTTATTAATTTTATAGAGATAATAAAACTATTTCTCTAGGTAGCATTTCTTTGCTATAATTCAATTCAGCCTTGAACAGAGCTGATAATAAAAGACACCTGTTAGAACTTTGTAATGTTATGTGTGCCAAGAGGCAGAAACTCATCCACAAAATCTCAGATCATTATAAGTCTTGAGCATTAAAAAAAACCCCAAACATTCTTAACAGCTGATATGTTAAGTACTTGCCAAATTATTTAAGATTTGTGCTATAACAAGATTAAACCACCTTGAGCTACAGCATGAACTTTACTAAAACTTAAGAACAACTCTGAATTGTATTTATCAGTAATATTTTTGTATTTTAGACTTGTTATGTTACTCTGAAACACATTACAAACTAGGAAGCATACATAAGGCATTGAGAGAGATGTTAAAATTCCTGATAAATAAACAAGTGACAGCACACAGTGTAAACCCATGCAGATTCTGAATTCTTTAATTCAAGCTCCTTATGGTAAAACATGCTCCTGGTAGGCAGTAATCACTTCCTTTTCAACTGACTTATTCTCATCAAATATATATCAACTTTGTACTGGGTAATTCCATTAACACCACCTAAGAGTAAAGAAGCAGAATTATTTGCAAAATCTTATCATAGTATCTTCTATAGGATTAGCAATATAACCACAGCATATTCACATCTAGTGGAAATTCCCAGTTCACACCATAAGGCTAAGAAGAATAAAGGCAATTTCCCTTCTTTTATTTTACTGTTTTTATACAGGAATAGGATACAAAACCTACAATGAAAGTTGAAAAACAATTTACAGTATCAGCCTCAAGTTTTATATGTTTGTGATCTGTAAAAGTACAAAGACAGACAGAACTTTGTTGTTCTTCTCCTACCCCAGGCCACCTCTGACTTTTTAAAATTTGTCTCCATGGTCAGAGAGAAGCCGTGACACAAGAGAATGAAATCACATGGCCACAAACAGGGGGACACCTTTAATATGGCAAAAAACGTCACTGAACAGAGATACTTCCTGGGTATGTTCTCTCTAAACCCACTTCTCTAAGTGACCAGGAACTTTAGTGGACAAAGATGGCTTAAAAGAGCTCCCAAAGCTTCTAGTATAACACTACAAAGATGGGGCTGGGAGCGGCAGATTGGCCAAGACCTCCATCAGCTACTTTCTGACAGCTGAGGGCCTTTACAGCTTGGCAGAGGAAGGTCTTCAGTATGAATGTGTCATATTAGCAGTTTTCCCCTTGGAAGCAGAGCTAGTCCCAAGATGAGTTTCCATTAAGTCAAAGGTCACTTGTGGATGTCAGGAAAGGATAAATAGGGTTTGAGCTGGGTCACTAGCAGCCAATGTACTACTGTACCCAGTGAGCAAAGAGAAAGAAAAGAATTTGTCACTTCTAGAAGGGATTATAACAGAGGATAAGATCCTGCATAGAAACCAGCTTTACAGTGGGCTTGCTTGATGAAACTGGACATGCTATTCTAACTGTAAAACAGGGTAATGATATTGCTCATTTCTTAAAGTTCTTGAGACATATATATACTTATATTAAAAGTTTAACAGGACACTTAATGTAAGAGCTATCAGCAAAGCTTGGGATTTGGCAAACAGAAATTACAAGTCACAGCAAATGAAATGGGACTCATGGTTATTACTACTATAACTATAGAAAGGCTGTGGAAGAAAGCATTTTTTTATTGCCTGCCTTGTTACAGGAAAGATCAGAATTGATGGACAGACTGGATGTCCCTTGGTGGAGATGCAGTGCTCATTACATGGCACTTTCAGAATTCTATATAATAATTTTAGTTGGCATCACGTGACTACGTATCAGGTAAGAACAGGACTGCTTAAAAAGGAGGAAAGAAAAAGGAGTGAAGTGTTTAGTGGGAAACAATGAAACCCTTCATTTCTTCTGAACATTTTAGTTAAAAATGAATTTCAATTCTCATTTTCTGGTGAGAAAATTCCAACACACAAACACACCCACCCCTCAAAACAGGAGACAAAGTTTTTCCAAAAGAAATTTGTTACAATTACATATTTTTTCCCATGGAAAACTTCTGGTTTGAAAATATATCAACTCTCAGTGAAGATACTTTCAACAGAACTGTAGTCACCGTCAGTCCTCATGTCTTTAAGTTGGATATCCAATTCCAGGTGAAGAAGTAGCTCGAGTGATGGGATTAGTGCACTGCCATTCAAATACCAAAATGAGGATTTTTTTTCACCACCAAATTTAAGTAAGATTTCCTCCCCAAATTCTTTAGAGTTATCTGTGCCTCATTTCCTTTCTTTCATAATAAATAATGGAGGCCATATACTTAATTGCAAGATTATACTAAGTATCAAATCTCTAATTTTCCTACAAGCATCTCTAAGCAATATTATTATAAACCACACTTTTAAATTTTTTTAATAAGTCATTAGGCTGATAATACATTGTGTCAAGTGTCATACCCAACAGATTTTTAAAACAAATGATACTTCTCAAAAACAATTATCTAAAGGTATGATATTTTTTTTCAGTCTTGGAAAAAAGCTCTCCAGGCTTTGACAAATGGATTACAAAGAGATTGGTAATAAATGGTGGGAACCGACTTATTCCACCATTAAAAAATTAGCAATCTAGCCATATAAGTCCTTCTTCTCAAGTCAGTATAGAAGGACTGGCGTTTCCTGAGAAAAAACTCACCTTTGTAAGGCATGTATCTGAGATAGACAGCAGGGCTATTCTTTCACAGATGCTTTTATTTCCACTGCCTACATGCTAAAGTTATCTTTAAGGCAGCTAAGGTTAGCAGAGGAGAATCCCACTCAAAATTTAGAAGGTACTTTAACTTTTTGTTTTGTTTTAAACAAAGACTAATTCTGTAAAAGCCTCTAATATGGGACAGGAAGTTTTTATGCTCTGAATCAGCCTAGTTAACATGCACATAGTACTAGACAGTGATTCAACAACGTTGGACATTTTCTCATTGCCGTTCAGTTTTGTGTTTTGGAAAATTTGTCCATTCAGCGATGCCTAACTAATCATTCCAATGTGTCCAAAAAATGAAAGAAAAAGCAGACCAAGGAAATATTACGCACTGCCAGTGCAGCAGGAAAAAAATACCCTGGAATCAAAAAGATAGGATAAAGTTGTGTTTAATATTCCAGAGGTACACACCTCTTAGAAACTGTAAGGCTAATAAAACTGCTATGCATCATGCAGGCAAAACACTACAGAGCTCTTGGAAAATTTGGGGGCATGAGTGTCTCAGTGTGATTTCTGTTATAATCCTGACATTCTCTAATCAGTACCTCTCAAAGCTGAGCAGTATTTCCTTGCTAATTGTCTCATTATTATATTTAAAGTTCTTTTCAGAGTAGTAAGTTACATTAGGTATACTGATGTTACTTTGACATAAAACACAATCTAGTCTTCATGTTATAGCAGCTCTTAAACATAGCAAAAACATTAAATTGAAAATCTTACTTCTGATAAACTGCTTCTCTGAGTAGTGACAGTTCCAACAATGTCTCCACTCATTTGCACAGAGAGCCCTGAAGCAGCGCTGTGGGTCCTCCCCATTTGGCTCTTAGATGTCAAAGATCTGCTTCTTTGCATACTAATGATGCCTTCCCTATTTCCTTGGTTGCTAGGGGTAAGAGGCCGTGACAGCAAGCTATTCGGGGTCACAGGTCTGCTACCCGGAGTTGATGGAGTTGGTGGCCTGTTGGTTTGTGTACCGGGCGTTGGAGGCCTACTGTTTGCAACACTGGAGATCTGTGTTCTGCTGTTATTGGGCAGCGGTGGCGATTTGTTTCCTTGGAGCTGAATGTTCTTCCCCGTCTGAGTTGACACCTGAGGCCTTGGATTTTGGCCCTGTGTAGCTTGAAGATTGCCTTGATGGTCAGATGTAACTAAACTATGATGTTGGATAGTAGGGCTTCTTGAGAGCCTTGCTTCTTCCCATAGTGCTAGGTCCTTCTCAATATCTGTGCACACACACACAAACAAAAAAGGAAAGAAAGCAAGAAACTCACTTTCTGTTTCTCTCTGGTTTAAAACTCTTATTGATTTTCTCCAATGTAAGCGACAACCTGAAGCTGTGCAGACAAAATCTATTCACCCTTAAAATATAAGGCATCAGAATTAACAGTTCAAATGCTTGTCAAGCATTTCCTCAGTTTATTTACATTTCATTTACTGCAAACACAGCTATCCCACAGAAACAAAATATTACGACTTCATTGAACGTCAATACAACCTACAAAAATCCCTCTCATCTCTTCAAAGTTCTCTTTCTGTGGCTTTTGCACAGTTTATCGCTAGTATCAAACCAAGATGGAGCAGTGAGCTGAACTCGCCCTCCTCAGCTGCAATGAAGGGCAATCCAAAACTGGTTCAAGGCGAGACTTTGTTTCTGGCCTCGCCGTCTATCGGCCAACCAAAACTCTAGGGGAAATAACCTTTGAACTTTGGCACACGTGGATCTGTGATCCTGTTTGAATCTGAATTTTGTGCTCTGGTCTGCTGTCAGTGCCACAGCAGGGGACGGGGTCACCAACATCTAGAATCCAAGGAGAAAAGATGGCCAGTCCCTACCCCTCACATAGCCATAAGGAGTAAGTTCCTATTTAAAAACAGAACAGATCAGGGTAGTGATGAAAAGTGTCTTCTGAATTCATTTAAATCATATTAACGCTTCTAATGAATTAAATCAGATACATCCAGCAAAGTTAGCTGAGGGTAGCTGGAATTTAGGTTAGCATTGCTAACACACTGGAAGTCCTTGCAAGTAAAAATGTCAAGCTTAAGGAACAGTATACTCAAGTTTATTTTATCTTACACAATTGTTATGAAATTTCACTCTCACTGGAATGTACTCTACTGTAACTTGGTTTGACAGGGACAGTTGGTTATCTTTAGAAAAGCAATGCCAAAAAAGCAAACCCGGCACCAAGTGCCGGGTATCAAACCAAGATGGAGCAGTGAGCTGAACTTGCCCTCCTCAGCTGCAATGAAGGGCAATCCAAAACTGGTTCAAGGCGAGTCTTTGCTTCTGGCCTCGCCGTCTATCGGCCAACCAAAACTCTAGGGGAAATAAGCGGGTTTTGGTTTTGGCCAAGTGCCGGGTCCTGCACTTCAGCCACATCAATCCCATGCACTGCTACAGGCTTGGGGAAGAGTGGCTGGAAAGCTGCCTGGTGGAAAAGGACCTGGGGGTGCTGGTCGACAGCCGGCTGAACATGAGCCAGCAGTGTGCCCAGGTGGCCAAGAAGGCCAATAGCATCCTGACTTGTATCAGAAATAGTGTGGCCAGCAGGAGGAGGGAAGTGATCGTGCCCCTGTACTCGGCACTGGTGAGGCTGAGTGTTCAAATACTGTGTTCAGTTTGGGGCCCCTCACTACAAGAAGGACGTTGAGGTGCTGGAGCGTGTCCAGAGAAGGGCAACGAAGCTGGTGAAGGGTCTGGAGAATGAGTCTTATGAGGAGCGGCTGAGAGAACTGGGGTTGTTTAGCCTGGAGAAAAGGAGGCTGAGGGGAGACCTCATCGCTCTCTACAACTACCTGAAAGGAGGCTGTAGCCAGGTGGGTGTCGGTCTCTTCTCCCAAGTAACTGGCAATAGGACAAGAGGAAATGGCCTCAAGTTGCGCCAGGGGAGGTTTAGATTGGACGTGAGGAAAAATTTCTTTACTGAAAGAGTGGTTAAACACTGGAACAGGCTGCCCAGGGAAGTGGTTGAGTCACCATCCCTGGAAGTATTTAAAAGACGTGTAGATGAGGCGCTTAGGGACATGGTTTAGTAGGCATGGTGGTGTTGGACTCGATGATCTTAGAGGTCTCTTCCAACCTTAATGATTCTATGATTCTATGATTCATTTCCCATTAAACTGTACAAGTCACAGTCCCAGAAGCTGTAAATCAGCAAGGCTCTAGTGATTTAAACACCCATTATTGAACTTATATAAAATAAGCATTTCATTTTTATATTGATAACAATAATTTCAGGTTCTAAAAGTCCTAAAAGAAACAGATTCTAAACTGCATATTGGAAAAATCAGATTTTCTTTCACTTGTGTTTACCAGTAGGTATAAAAGGAATGCTGTATGTAAAATAATTAAAGATGTGCTGCCTTTAACATTAACTTATTTTATAATAACACCTTGAAAACAGGAAAATAAGCTATGTCAATTTCATGTTACTAGTCTAATACAAGATATTCCACACATTTCAAATGCTATTACTAGAAAAGCTGATAAAACTGAAATAGTTGTGAAAGCCTCAGATAAAAGGGTCTCTCAAGTCAAAGATTAAATGTTTTGCTATTAGCAAATTTCAAAACATAGTTATTGTTTCTAGCACACAGTTAAGAATATTTCTAATTGCTACCTTGCTGACTTCTTAAAATTAATTATTTCCATTTTGAAATAATTATGTCTTGAAATACTCTTCCATTATGCTTTCTAAAAAAAAATCAATACACATCACTTTGGAACTTGTAAGATGCCTAGCAAAAATGCAGGGGCCAATAAATGACAATGTGGGCTACCTGATTTAAACCAAATGAGGAATATTTTCTTTTAAAAATTCAGCTTAGCTTGTCTTTGCAAAATTACAGACCTCTTACTTCCCCATGATGATTCAGTATGCTGAGAAATTATCTGAATACTGAATGATTTAATAAGAGTTAAATAAACATTTTATTCTGGCTCATGTTTCCTTAATTCCAAATAGTAATCAAGCCTGAAGATAAACCAATTATTCTAATAATTTCTCCATGTATAATTAAGATGTTTCCATAGTGTAATTATTCAGTTTTATTTAGCACACATCCTCTTTTTGATTTTGCTTCAATATCAGCTTTTCAACCAGAAATAAAAAAAAAAAAAAAAAAAATCACACATCTCCAGCTTTACAGTATTATCTGATCCATAGTAAATACCAGAATTGAATTATGACTTAGGATTTTTTAAATCCCTTGTCAATGTCATTTAAAGGAAAATAAAATACAGGCAACAGAGCAACACAAGGTCATTTTACTTTCATATCAGAAATACCAGAATAAGGATATGATTCATAATGTGCTTAAAAACTGTTTATGCATTTAACAGTTGTTCTTGTGATAAAAAATATTTCAGAAGTATGCAATGACCACAGAATCAGTGTAACAAACCAAATTGGCAAGATACTGGAATTAACTACCAAAATAAATATATTTTCCACTTGCATGTGATACAAAGCAGCCACAATAACATAAGAGACTGGATCTTAGACAAAAGTATTACATTGTATGTAGAGAAGGAAAAGAAAACTGATTGCTTCAATATCCGATTTTGTAAAAATGCTGCTTTCAAATATCAAGGTACTGAGGCAGTTGCTGGCAGTTGGTGCTAGTCCCTAATTTAGGCACAGGCACCAAACTGTGCCTTATGTTAGGAGCGAGTTTTATCCCGCACGTAGTCTATAAGAGAAAGCCAGGCTCCCTAAGAAGGTGTATCTGAGACAAGGGACCACATTTCATCATTACACAGGTAATCCAAGTCATAATTCAGGCATCTAAATGACTGCCTAGGATTGGGTAGAATTAATAGGTTCCAGCGCGCTTGGTAAGAGAACAGAAACAAGGAGACTTGCTGGTATCAGACACCTGAACTTTTGCAAATATATGAGGCAAATAAGGCTAAGCAAAACCACAGCATTATTATCTGAGGTCCTCTGAGCTGATTCTTCATGAAAATTGTTATGCTTGTCTGTGAGGGGAATAATTGTCTCAAGCAGCACTGGTGTTATAATAGGACAAGAATTATTAGGAATATGAGAGTCCAATGTTTAATAATTGGGCTGTTTTCTTGTGAATTTCTCAGGCAGACAGAAATTACTGAATGGTAGAATGACTGAACCCCATGTTACAGCGTTACTGAGATAACGGACCCAAAGCCAAATGACAACGGCATTGATGCGAGGGAGAAGACCTTGTAGGTCACACAACAGTAGTCTGAATCTCGGAGACTAAGTGGATGTAGCTAGTTAGCTTACGGTCAATTAAGTATTTAAAATTCCATATTCTATTGAATATGGTAGTTATTACTGTCATCTTTGCCGAGGGAGATCTAAAGGAACTGCATGTTTCAGAGCATACTGCATACAAGAACAGCTTGTATGACCACGGAAGTGTGACCAGTTAGGACATAAATCAAAGTAGGGAGATCTTCACCAGACCCTTCCTGAGTGACAACTGCAGCAACACAAAGGAAGGCAAGTGCTACCTCAGTGGCAGAGGCCCCTGGGGCACTCAGATCCCTGCTATGCCACAGAAACCTGATGACCACAGCTTGGCCTGCTGGTTTCCTGGTTCCCACTAGATGTTCCTGGCAGTTTCAGCTTGGAGAGAGGGCTCAAGGATTTTCAGTCTAGTTTGGCAGTGGGTACATCTCTAATAGCTACAGTGACTTGAACCTGTCAAAAAAAATTGAATGACAGTATCTCTGTTGTCAGAAACAAAAAACATCTAAAATATCTTCATTTGTAGATAGCATAATTTTTAGCTCTTGCTCCATTACAAGCAAAAACTTTTTCTAAAGAGCTTCCCTCATTGTGCTCATAGCTTTGTCTTCTGCCTTGACTTCAGCTGCAACAGCCGCTAGACAGAAGTACAATGGCTGTACCTCTCTCTGAAGAGGATAGAGCTCCCAAGCCTTTCACACCAGTATTATTGGTAGGATAAATGTCCAAAGTCTTTTAGAAAAATCACACTGAAAGTGGTAAGTTCGCTGCCTCACTCTCTGAATGATTTGAAAGAAGGGTCCGATAAATTTCATTTCTCCCTCCACCTTACATATACAGTCTTTATGTTCCAGTTCTGCATTCCTTTTCATAGAGTTGGCCCATGAAGCTCAGCTTTCACCATATGACAAATAGCATGCATAATATAGGACTACCATGCTATAGGTCTATGTCATACCTTATAACTAAAGCTGAAGATAGAAAATACTGATTACAAAGAACAACAAATTGCAAACTGTATCCTAGGATATCCCTCATTAATTTTTATAGAGCTCTGAAACATTTTCACTGAAAAAAAGGGGGGTTTGTTTGACCTTTTAGACATGGTTACCCCACCAAAGATGTTGCAGATGTTCCACTGCATGCAAGTTAACAGACTTCACTTAGCCGGAAGTCTCATGAACAAGGTGGGCTTTTCCTGCAAAGCAATCTCAAGGTCCACTGCAGCCTTTTCTAAAGACTACTTAACTGTAGATGAAGCATCAGTACCTCCTTACTGCATAAGTCTTGGTGAAATGTGAAAACAAAACAAAACAAAAAGGTGCATCATTAAGCTGTCAGACTGCAGTATATTTAACACAGTTTAATTACTGTTTAATTACTGTATTTACTGTAATTACAGCAAAGTTCATTACATCTACAAATACAACAAGAATTGTGCTGTTTCTCTTCAATGAAGAAAAAGGGAAGTTTAAAGTTTTTATCTCTTTTCATCAGCATGTGAAATAGATAATTTTTTCGTTCGTCTAAAATATTGGCAGAGCTAGCTGGGTGAGTACTACTAGGCATTTTATGATCCTTTGCTACCATACATACCAGCTAGGTGTTTTTCCATGGTCTGAAGTTCTTTTGCCGCCAAGGAGTCCTTTAAGAGTTTCTGCCTTGGGGAACCTCCAGGTCTGACACCCATGGCATCCAGGGTCCAAACTGTCTGAGACTTACACAGATAAAAAGAAAAGGGAACGTTTTTAATCTAGTTTCACATTTACACGTGAAACACTAGAAAAAGTGGTGTCCTCATTTAGAATAGTGAATCTGGTACTTTTTATGTAGAATATATAATATTTTATGCAAAATATTACAAAATATCATGTCTTACCTTAAATAACATAAATAGTAGGCATTACTTAGAATCAACAGTTCTAAAGTAATTCAAATACATACCTTCACACAAGCTTTTGTTCCATGCTGAGACATCACAACAGGACAAATTCTTCAATGATTTACATTCTGTGAAGTTCCAGTTACTTAGTGGGGGTTGCACTTACTTTAAATTACCATAACATTTGGCACCATATCTCTGCAAAGCAGCACTTCTGGGAACATCACAGAATTTCCTAATCAAAATTGCCAGTGCTGTTTTATTGCTGCAAGAGGTATGCCTTTCAGGAACAGCAACTAAATCATCAGGGCAACACAGCAGTTTGGAAGGGATGCCAGCAAACAGACCACCTCCCCAGTCACTTCACTATTGAACGCTGTGGTATTCAAAATTATCTGCATTTTCTGGAACCCACTCAATACAGTTTCAAAAAATAATTTTAAAATATGCTATGAGGTAAACTTGGTAGGTTTTTTTAATGCTTATTTGAAATAGACAAAAAAAATATATGACGGAGCGTGCAAGACTCAGTCATAAAAACAACAAACAAAAACATTAATTAAAGCATTCTTAACAGCCTATCTGAAATAAATTTTACATTATTACCTCACCAAAACATTTCATCTGTAGTCTAGGGGTTTTTGCTGATTTCCCAGGTTTCCTAAAGAGACAAGGCTTATGCGATGGTCTCATTGTCATTCACCTCTTACTAACTTTTTAATCTTTCGGTAAATGTCAAACAAATTTAGAGAAGGGCCACAGTTTCAAAGACATTAAGCTGATGCAACTGTAGGGAGAAGAATGATTGAGCAGAGGAGGGAGACCCACACTGGTGACAGCATTCACGGAGGGCTCCACTGCTACGCAGTCTGCCGGTCTGGAACTGTATCACCAGACGACACGTGGGTTGCTGCAGATAGCTGCAGCACGTGACGGTACTTTTCTGGCTGGACTCTCATGTCATAGGGAAAGGTGTACCACAGTTCAAGGGATGAACATGAAAATACAGGTTTGATATCATCTCTGTTCACAAAAAATTTGCTTTAACCATAAACACTAAATAAAACACTGTAGCTGCCTTCCCTTTTAGAAAAGTAAGTGTAATTCTACAGAAATAAAATCTTATACGGGATACATTTTACATCATTTTTAATCTTTCCAAATAAACTCTGCCTCATATGCAACCGATCATTGTGAACCATGTATCTTTACAATATGTTAACATAGATTCATATTTATAAAGCAACAGCTATACTGTAATGCTGCACATGCATACATAAAAAAGCCGCCGTATTTACCAGCATATGAAATAGTTCAAAGCTGCAGATAATTCTGTTGTTATTAATTCACAAGATTTTTAGAACACTAATGACATTTTTGGATTTGCCAATTGTTTTTTATGCTAGTTCTGCTCTGGTTAAAGTCACCCGTATTTAATCCCAGGTGAATACACAGGAACAGCTGAATAAAACAGTAAGTTACTCAGAAGTGGAACTGATCCTGCAAACACATTTATTTCAGACATATCACTAGACCTGATTCATCCGTTCCCCCAAGAGATTTTGAACATTTGTCACTTCAGTTCTCATTGTGAATTCTCCATACAAATCAATCTGGTTTGCTGAGGTCACTACGGGATATTAATCTGTATTAAATGACTCACATCTCTAAATGTTTATTTCTAATATATATTAGTTACCCAGTATCTATCTCTAGATGGAAGAATATTTTATTCTGTGAACAATTCCTCTGAAATAAACGAAACTAAGTAAGAGATGGGAAGGGGGAATAGAGCCCGTAAAAAAACTCTAATATTTTAATTTTCAATCTATTTTTATATATACTCTTGTCCCCAGATTTTTATGGCAGAAAAAGGCCATTTTTATATACATTTTATAGTGTATATTTTCATAACGGGTAAAAAACAGCAGGACTTCAATAATGACTATGGGGGAAAAAAATCCCCAAGGTTATAAGGATGAATCCTTTTTGAATATACAATCTCATGCACAAATACAACTCTGATGAAATGCGGAATAAAAACTAGTCAGCAGTCTATGGTAATACTTGAAGACCAAACTGCCCTTCTAATATTCTTAACTCTGACTATTCAAGTTTATCACAAGCAAATTATTAAGGGTTTTCAATAACTCCTTAATCTCCTAAAAACAGGGACTTCCAAATGTTAGCCTGATGAGAGGGTTTCACTCTCCATGTCCTATTTTCTGGAAATGAAATGGAGTTATCATTCTCTTCCACAGACTTCTACTGTTTCTTCTTACATTCTGCCTTTTCCTCTATTGTACTTCTTTCCTTTATGCACAGCAATCACATAAGACTCTTACAACTAAGGTGACTGTCTGAGTAAAGGCAGCTCTCTACTGCCTGAAGTAGAATCTAAGATAAACGGAGAAAAATGATTCTTTAATGGTAGTCATGATGATAGTGCTTTAGACGTCTATAAAACCATGAGTAATGTTTAAATTAAATCACTTACAGTTAGGAGACTCCAAATCACAAAGATCATCAAACATCAGTAATACCTTTGTATGTTTCAACACAGGTTTTAAAAATCTTATATAAGTTCATGTAAGACATATAGATATGCCTGCGTATAAGCACACACAGGCACACAGAGGCAGGTGCACACATGCATTTAATAAATATTTGTGTCTGCCTTCATCCTGTTAACACACAGCTACAAAGACATACAAAGTTTGTGTTCAGTTCTGGACGTAGCACAGATGTGTACATTCTTTCTAAGAATAAATATTAATCTTGTATATGATTTAAAACAAATACATTTACATATATTCAGTCTCTACCATTACATATTGTTATATGTTCAAACTCCCTTTCAGATACACAGTTCCAACACCCTGTGAAATTAATGAGGTAACTTTGGGTGAATTTTTTCCCTGAATTTTGTAACTCTTCCTGTGCATTTTTCTGTTCTATGTGATATCATAAGCTTATGGCATTTTGTCAGGCAATAGCTTCAAAAAAGACCAGAACAGTATTGCAATACTAGTTATGAAAAATTATATATTTAATATTAGCAATTTAATTTCATGATAAATTACGTGCTTATAATAGTGCCTTCCAATTAAACACTCACTTGATAGAAAATAATAACGATCTGGGAAAAAAAAAGGTACAAGAGTTTATTAAGACATTAAAACTGTAGTGTAACCATTTTTTGTTCCTTCTCTGAAGCTAGATATTTCAGAGCTATAACCAACATTTTCAGAGGCAGGCTCAGGTAATGCCTTTGTTCTATACATCTAATTAATACAGAACATAAAAAAAAAAAATTAACATCTTGAGACTATGAGTTCATCTAAGTGAATACTGCATACACACTGGCAGAGGTCTTCAGTGTCTCCAGCACACAATTTATGCAACAGCCTTATTCCTAAAAGATAAACACAAGCTGAAAGTAGGGGATGTTATCAAGGAGGCTTTGGAAGCATGTCAGTTCAAATGCAAGGATAAATGAATTTGTACAGCTCTAGCAGAACTCACTGGTGCCCCTTCTCTCCACTGGATGAACGGCAGCATGTCACTTAAGAAAGAGATTTAGGCTTGCAAGCCATTTATTTAAACCTTCTTATTGCGCTTCACCAAAACCTATCCTTTGTCTACTGGCCAGGAATTGCAGAGATAACACACTAATGTCAGTTAACTTGGACTTTAATGATAATGACAGTAGACTGAATGCAGTTGAAAAATATAGCATATATATATGAAGTATGTGCATAGAAGTCCTTCCAATTCCTTCACTATCTTCCAAACTACAATTGCCCTTGATTGTTCATTAAGCTCTATAAATATTAGCACAAAATTTATAAATGGCCTATTTACATTAACAAGATCTAAATATGAGGATGTTCCTGAAAGACATCTTTGTCTTTCTAACTTGTAGAAACAGCTCTGGGCCCTGTTCATCACCTTCAAACTTTGAAGGTGAGGCAATGTCTCTTTGTGCCAGAAATATGTTCAAACAAAGCCCTCAGAATACATTTATCAACTTTTAAGGTCAATTATATGTCCATTTCATAAGTGGCTTTCTTTTACATATCATCATAATTTCTTCACATACAATACATTCATTAATGCTTTTTTTTACTTAGATCACTTAGCCAAATTACTGCTACAATAAAAAATTACAAACAATAATGCCAAAGGTAATTTCTCTCATCACTGGTTCCCTGAACTTCTAGAAACTACTATAACTTACTGGGAATAGCCACACCGGAACAGAAATACAATTAAGGAGGTCATGAATAAGAATAAGAAAGTTCTTCCAGTATCACTGTATCTGCTTCAGTAGCATCAGTATAGCTTTTGTCCCTAAAAAAACCCAGTGCAGATGTGAATGTCTTGATCTCACCATCAAGCTGACTTGACGTGAGCTGTGCAATACCCACTGACACCGGGGGAGTTCTACAGAGGTGCAACATTTCAGAATAGCTAAGACCAAGAGGAAGGCCTCCAAATTACCTACAACGTCACCTGGAAATCAAGTGCCTGTTAGAAAATAAATTACTCTTTCTTGCTGACCATAAAAAGTGTTAATAAACAATGCAGCATTATGTTCCTATGTCATTTTGGCCTGCCTCAGAGTAAAACACCCAGGTACCCCCATGCACACGCGCGCGCGCGCACGCACGCACACACACACAACCAAAAAATATCTCTTTTCAGGTGTGGGAACAATCCCCACCTCACAAGAGAAAGCACTTCTTCGTTTTTAAAGACTGAATTGCATGATAACAATGTAACGAGGAAAAGGAGGTGAACCCAATTAATCAGCTAGTTCCTGACAAGCTGTA